CGTCTGACTGAGCAAATAAGCATAAGTAAATGTGACGAGATACATTTGGCTTGGTGGGCGAGGCAAAGTCTTTATATACAGGTTCATGAGCACTTCAGCTTAATGTTTAGAAATAATTGAACAAGTAAAGGGGTTGCCAAAGTTTACGATAGTAAGGATGTAACAGAACTATGGAAGTTAGAGAAAGGTGACAAGGATGATCAGAAGTAAAGAATACTTCTCTAGAAGGAGATTCTAAATGGATTAGGATACTTCTGTGTTAAGAAGAGGTACCTGGAGGGAGAGACATGGTGGAAGGTTTTGAAAATCATGAGTAGCACAAAGAAAGCGAGTAAGATATGGTTATGCGCTGTTTATTACAAAACAAGGGATCACTTGTGTTAGTAGATCGAAAGCAAAATGTTTTTCTCTACGCATGATGATGAGGTCCACTGTATAGTTATAGAAGATCTTATAGATGCTAAGAGTTTGTTTTCAAAAGGCAATTGAATGAGGCCAGAAAAAAATGACTGTGGCTGAACACAAATATTTAATGGCTGGAGCAGGAAATCCATGTGCTTCAGATCTCTGTGAAGGTGAAGCAGACAACTATCACTGGTTACTTGATGTGTGCTTACATTCTTCCCTAGGTACCTACTGTAGGCCACTGGTGAAGACAGCCTACCAGGCTAGATAGAACTTTTATTCTGGCTTAGGATCGAGGGGGTTCTGGTGCATATAACAAAAAAAGCAAAGTAAACTCCTCCATTTCTCACTTGCCATGCCTACGTCTTGCAAGTTTTGGAAGTAGAAGCTTTGGACTTGTTTGAATTATCTTGCTCTTTGTAGAACAGTGACCTGATCGCCCAGACTACCATGTGATGGAAAGCTTGTGACTGTGTTACTGGAATGAGGCAGCTTAAAGTACTTCAGCATTCTGTTGGTGACCTTAATTTTTTTTTTTGTGGAAACAAGAAGTGGTTTTGTTGTGCTTTTCACAAGAAAAAAAAGAAATGTCTTCACTTGGAAGTGAGGAGGGAACTGATTCTTTTTTTTGTCAGAACGTTTATTGAATAGGCCCAGACACAAAGGGTTATGTGTTCTGTAATTTTCCTAAGTTGTCAAATGAAGACTGTGACTGGGCCAAGGAAAAGTTTATTTCCTGCTTCTCCATATGTAAGGAAAAGAAACTGAGGAAGAGAGAGTTGAAGTAAGAACCCTTACTTTAATATAATGGTCATTAGGATCATCATATCAAAATCAGTCGTAGGAAAAGGTGGATGTCCTCTCATATTTGGGGAGGAGACATTACTATGCATTTGCCCTTGTTGTTTATTTCTAAAACTAAGAATTTACTGATCTTCTTTTTCTGTATCTGTTTTTCCTCTACTTCTTCAAAAGCTTTGTTGTCTAGAAAGTGAACAACACTGGGCTTTGCTCTAATGGACCAAAAATGAGGGAAGCAGAATTCAAAGTTACGGAAATTTTCTAGTGTCTGTTCATATAGAGAGGTTTTTGGCTTGACAGGAGCAGATTCTTGTCCAAGAGGCCCAAGCCACTACTCTGAAGTTAAATCAACCTCTGGAATTCTGCCCTGGAGTTTTCTAGTGTGCCATGCAGATCAGCACTGGAGCAAGCCTATGATGCCTGTTAGCTCATCTGAGGTGTAGTGTTCATCAGTCCAAGGCAACAAGACTGTATATTTAGTTTTGTCTGCTTTTCTCAGAGACTGATTTGGGAGGTACGTGTATCTTATACAGTCAAACTGTGGGTTGCTGCTAAAAAGGGCAATTCCACTGTTATCCTCCAACCTGGATGATGTGTTTCTGCCTTTTCCGTGCCTTGGATGCAGTGATTGTGTGGCTGCAGGGTGATCTTGGATAAGCTTGATAATCTGATGGGGGAACGTTTTCCTCTCTAGTCTATCCTCCCCACTTCCTCGTGAGCTAACTCAAGACTTATTATGGCAGCACAGTGGCTTGATCTGATGCAAGAGACACATTAGGAGTGAGCAGTGGGGAAACAGAGGGAAAAGAAGGAATGAGACTGACTTTTTCAGTGGCAGCTTGCAATAGAATGAGATAATTACAATGTGAAGCAATACTTTAAGTCCTGCTGGCTGTTATTAACATATTGGAGTATCGGTACACCAGCAACTCTGCCTCTCTACTGATAATTTAAGGTGCACTTGCTCATCCACTGATCATGATTAACTGAGTCATTCTAATCCTGTCTCTTTCAGGGACCAAATTCAGTTGACTGTAGTATACCACGTAGTAGCTATGCAGTGGGTTTATGAGACAAACCTTCTTATTTGGGACAGTATTGTAAGTGACAAGTGTAGCAATGTAGTACCATACAGGTGGTGTGCTGTTGGGTCCAAAGGTCCTGCATCTTGTATCTAAACCTATTTACCAGTTACATATACATTGTCTCATGTATTCTTATTGATTATCTTCTGCCATGTTTTCTTAGCAAATCACTTTTTTTATGTGTTTAAGCTCCAGTAATGCAAATGAATAGTGTATCTGTATCTCTAGATGCTGTGTTTGAATGTCCTCCTGGTTTTGCTTTCTCTGTATGCTACCATGGGGGTCTGGGGCAGACCTTTGTTACCTCTCTGGGCTAAAGGCATTTTGCTCATAAGAATGTTATTTTGCAGTTTTAAGCAATCATGTGTCTCAGTAATTTCACAGTTAATAGTTTTAATTTGTGGGCCTTTGCTGCACTAAAGTACATGTGATTTGTAGCTGTAAATTGGTTATTTAAGGCCTAATAACTCTTATGTTTTCTCTTTAAGTAGCATCTATCACAGTGTAACTTCCTCAGTTGAGCCCATATGGATTAATTAGTAGCCAGCCAGTCCCTACACAAAGACTGAAATTCCTTCCGCGCTGGCTAACTTGTTTAACTGATCTTGGTGGCCAGAAGTTATGGCAATGGACAAGTCCATCCTGGATATGCTGCTGACCATGTTCTGTCGGTAAGCCTTCTGGGAGGTGAATTGAATCAATGGGCTAGTCAGCTGTGTTACAGTTACAGTTCAGAGACTGATCTTTAGGCCAAGACTCTTCAAGTACTTTTCTATACAGCCAAACTGAGGAAGCAGAGGAAAGAAGTTGATCCCAAATGTCCTGGTTGCCTTATTCTGTGTCTAGCCTTACAAACCAAGGTAGTCTATTCTAGCTTCTGCAAGGTGGCACAGAGATTATTCAGTGCTTGTCCAAAAAAATCCTTATTACGGCAGTGAATGATTGACTGTTACATAAACACTGGGTGGCATTATCTCAGTTTTTAGGAATTATTTTTCCTTAGTTCTTTAGAGTAGCATTGTAGGTTCCTTCAAAAATGGGTTATGGTGTCTGAATCTCAGAATGATAGACCTTTCTTGCAACCTTGCAGTAAAACTGTATCCATCAGCTTGGAAATTAGCTCATAGAAGATGATTAGTTTTCATCTCAGGAAAAAAAGCATTTGTTGTTTGTGTGCCAGAAATAAGATGCATGTTATGTTGGTTAATTGTCATGGAAGAAGAGCAAGTTAGAGCTACATTGTTCATCTGTTTCCAAAATAATTGTGTGTATATTACATGCAAATAAGGCTGCCAAAAAAGCATTCAGAAGTTGGGAAGTTTCAGAACTAAGATTGGCCATGCAGCATCCTCTGGTACATGTGCAGTGTGAAACACTAATTGTCCTCTCTTCCCCCTTTTTCTACAGGACTCAGTGTTAGTGGATCACGCTCACTCAGTGAGGAATCACTGTATGTGCTGTTATAACAGTATGTAATCTGAGGTCTGGTGTTTATTTGCAAAATACTAAGAGTTGCTCTGAAGGCAGAATTATCTTTCCCCAAACTTTAT